TTTATGTGCACACGCATCACTCGTCAGGGGCGGATCGGGCTGTAACCTGAGGGGTGCCGAAAGCATCATGACACATTTTTCTTCTTTCCAAATATTAATCAAAGTTGCACCATCAAATAACATTTCTCGTAAAAGCCAAGGGTGCGCGCACGAGCACCAGTCGCACCCCCCCCCCCCCCCCCCTGCTCATGTTATGCACACACGCACGCACACACACACACACACGCGCGCGCATGCACACACACATCACTCATCTTATGCTGTATCCTAGTTGTATCATTGACCCACAGCTACAACCGGTGGGGGCAGGTATGATGAATGGTAGCCATTCAGTCTGTGACACGTCGTACCTTGTCTTTCTCTTCTGACAGTAGCGGCAGCAGCAGATGATGAGAAGCAAGAGCAGCACCAGGACACCGGCTAGGATGCAAATCCAGATCCAGTACTCCAGCAGACCGTATGGATCGAGACCTGTACATGGAAAGCACACAACATGTGTAGCCACAGGAGCAGTCATGATCAGCAGCACACGAACGAGCATGGCTTCAGAAAAAGGAGCAAGCAAAGCATTCAGTGTTTGTTCAATAGATCCATGGTGAGCTATGGTGAGGTGACATGGCCCAACATGCGCTTCCAGTACATGTGAAATAGTGTCTCACTGTGTGATTGCCTTCTCCCCCTGGCCCCTGCACACAACAATGCACCGTTCCGTTAGCTTCGTACATGCATCGCAACCCTTTCCACCCAGCCATGATTGGGTTTGACAAGAACCTAAAGAGTCCCCCCCCCCACCCCTTCTCTCTCTCTCTCCCCTCTCTCTCTCTCTCTCCCCTCTCTCTCTCTCTCTCTCTCTCTCTCTCTCTCTCTCTCTCTCTCTCTCTCTCTCTCTCTCTCTCTCTCTCTCTCTCTCTCTCTCTCTCTCTCTCTCTCTCTCTCTCTCTCTCTCTCCGCTCAGCCAAAATGGACAGAAAGTTACTGCTAGTGAAGTCATTTGTTGGTTTCGAAAAGACCAAGCACACACTTACGTTTATACCAAACGATGTCTGTGGCGGTGGCTAGAAGAAAGGTGCAGCGGTGGATTAGAAAAAAGCACAGAGATAACGCAATGTTAGTACGACCTTGATCTCTGATCGAGTCTGAATCAGGCACTTCTCTGCTGTGTGTCAACAAATTTTCGGCACGTCACAAATTTCAGCCTCCCAGGGCTAAAACACAATTCGGCCTCATTAAAATTTCACCCTGTACTGCTGCTGCTGCCTGTATACACGGTCACACTGAACTGTGCAACACAAATTGTTGACTGCAACAAATTTTAGGCCAGAAATGCCCAGGCCGAAAATAGCCGAAAATAAATAATAATTATGTGCCGAATATGTCTTCACTTAGAGTACTACCCATTTTTTCCATTACTAGGGATTTCAGTTCCGGTCGCTGAAAAGCGAAAAATGCAGTCACAGCTCGCCTGTACAAAGTGAATGGGCGCCTCGTGGCTGCAGTTCGGGATGCAGTTCGAGGCCCAAGTATCTTCTCCCGCGGCCTTTTCAGCCTTGTCGATGCTATTTTTTAGGTAGCTGAGGTCATTACCTTTCCAATGGTGCCACACATGCCATGCTTCCAAAAATAATGCCTCCGCACTTTGCGCGGACGCACTTCGAAGTACTAATTTCGACCAGATGCGTACTTGACCCCGCGAGGAACACCCGATTTTCGTATTCAGCGACCTCGAATTAGTCTAAAACAAGAGGATTCTAGAACATTTAGGCTCGCGCTTTATTGCGGTAGAAGGGAAATGATCACAGAAACCAGCCCATGGCGATTTCCTGGTGGTTTCCGAAAAAATCGAGTGAACTGCCCGCACACTGTAGAAGCGGTGACGGTGAAAACGTGGGACTTGTGCAAGTAGGCGTGCACGGCATGCGTGCACACTGCATGCATGCATGCACACATCCTGTATCGCCATGTACTCACCAGATAGTGCAGTGCTGGACGGAAACCACACGGGCCACATACATACACATGTACTTGCATCTACTTCTGCGACTGTTTTCACCCCCATTTTCCGATCTGCAATCGCCATGACTCTAGATTGCCTTGGAATTTCGGGTTCAAATTTTCACAGGTTGTTTCTCACATCTTCCCGGTTTAGAAAAACTAGCGCTTTATGCGAAACTCGCGAATTTGGTTTTCGATTGAACTCCCTACCATTGCCCCTTCACTCTGACAGAAGTGTGACGGATAACACTACTCTAGTACTATTACTTATTCCTACCGTTTTCATTACTCAGATTAGAAAAGAAAACAGTGTTCGAATGGTTTTCAGTACATGTAGCACAGAACCTCCAAATCATTGCAATCAGTGCATTTTTAAGAGCCATTGTCGACTTCCGATCATAACAAATGCACTTTGAGCGTTCCAATAACCCCAGCATCCTTGTTGGTATTGGGGAAATCACCCCAACAATCAATGTGTGCTTCCTTCAACCAGGTCCTCTAAGCCAGTCTAGTGACTGGGCCACCCGATGTAGACGAACCACAAAGCAGGTTCGCGACAGCTGCCCTGCACTGCATGCTATGGGTGCACAGCAGCATCAGTCACAGCCATGCACAGCAGCATCAGTCACAGCCATGCACAGCAGCATCAGTCACAGCCATGTACAGCGGGCACTTCCACTCTGCGGCGCGTCAACTGACTCACCAGGTCGGGCTTCACTGAGCGACAAAGACTTTGAAAACATTTATGCCAATGGCCAGAAACAAATTAGTTCACAACGGCAGGACGCTTTGATGCGTTGTATCTCCGAGTTTCAAGGCATATGAGCCAACCATCAGGCAGCATCATACTTGTGTCACAGGTTCCTTTTTGTGGGTTTTAAAGCGCTTTCGCAAGAGTATGGCATCTTTGCTCCGTTGATGCCAATGGCATACTCAGACAATGCTTTAGAAAGACCTCAAATACATGTGCATGTATTTGGAAGCTCAGTTTGGAGATGCAGTAGCCTGTGAAGGCGGAGTGATGAACTTTGTGAAATCAGCCATCTACTTGTACAAAACTTGAGTAGGCTGAGCACTACCAAACAGGTGATAGCCTGTAGCTGCATAACTGAAGCACTTGCACTAAGAAAAAATAGTCCCTCGAGGTATGTAATGAAAATGTGAGCAGTTGCATTGAATTGCGTCTATGTTGCGATGAAATTCCATGACATTATTCTACATGTTGACAGCACTCAGACTTCATGATGCATGGCCAACAAAGGCAGGAGTACCAACCCAGCAAGAAACAACATAATGTACACTGCACTTACTTGTTGGTGTCACAGCTGTGGTTGGCTCTGCACGGTAGACACATGCCAACAAAGAGAGAACGGTTCACAGTGACAAACTGATACTCACTTTTAAAATGACAAGGGCTAAATCAATGTCCGGCTATTCTGTATTGAGTACAGCCAAATGGTGATGTCATTGTTAGAATTGTGTAATGAATATTCATATCAGATGCCAGTTAGGCTGGAAATCAGTTTGGTGGACATTCACAACTTTCAGGCACGTTCGATCCAAGAAATGCAGACTGTAGCTACCATCTTCAAGTTATTGGCATTTTCGGAACACAAACAGATGGCTGGACTAAACTTTCAATTGTTACTATGCACTACTTCACTATTCAAAGAACACGTGTCTCTCACCAACTAGCAGTATTTTTTTTTAAATTACAGTTTGCGCGAGACTCGGCTAGAAGCCGAGTTTTCCGTATCGGTAGGAACGCCACCACCCCCAAGGATCAAGGTGCAGATGCAGCTCCTAAAGCGGTGGGAGGTGAGTAGATCAGACCCGCCACCAAAGTGGTCAAAGAGCAAAAATCCCATTCGCTGCATTCATGCAGAGCAGATAGCATACTGCAGTATGCTACCTGCATGGATGTACAGTAAAATGTCGGTGTCAGGGACTTGCCAGGTTTCAGGTGTAATGTAGAATTAGGTGATCAGCCTACTCTTCACCTACAGTGTGTACTACAGTGTGTACTACAGTGTGTACTTTTTTTTTTTTTTTTTTTTTTTTTGAAAACAAATCACATAATGATGACGTCGCATGTGATCAGACAGCAAGAGAAGCATAGCATAGTCCGCACAATCAGTGTGTACTACAGTGTGTACTACAGTGTGTACTACAGTGTGTACTCCAGCGACTTTTAGGTGTACAGTCAGCGTTGCGTATAACGACACTCGGCGGGACATCCGAAAAGTGTCCTTATTCGCGAAGTGTCCTTATACCCGAAGTCTCATTGTATGTATACAGGTAGATGGGATTTTGCTCTGGGAATGGATATTCTGTGGTTATTCGCGAATTGTCGTTCCGCATTTGTTATTAGCGAAGTTGACTGTAATCTAAATGTAGGTGCCTGGTTTATCTACCGAAATTACCGAAATTAACATTACACCGAAATTAACGTGTTATACAGTGTGTCCAAGGTATCTTTTCATTTTGTTTTGTTTGACATTCCGTGACGGGCACAAATGAATAGTGCGGGTCGGGTCTCAACACCACTGGCCTCAGCTCTGCGTATAACGAACTCGCATGTAGCGGATTTCATGATATAGCGAACCCTTGTCCATGTCCCTGTTTGTCGTTTGAACCCATGCAAGACTGACCCGTTATAGCGAACAGTTTTCGTTCATAACGAACCAAATCTTGTACCAGTAGGGCCGCATGTAAACCAAGTGCACTCATACTGTGAAAGTCATGGGTCACTTGCCAGTCATGACTTGCTGCTTGTATACTGTGAGCGCATTCCTGTTATAACGAACTTCAGCTATAAAGAACTAATTCTTCTGCACACTTTGTCAACTGTATGGGATGTAGTCTAGATAGATGTGACAGATGTAGTCTAACTGGTTCAGTTCGTCTGGACGCCTAGACAACAGAGAGAATAATCGATAATCAATCGATAATCAAACTGCTACAGCGATAGGCTAACTGATACAAATAACTTGTTAGCGTTTCACCCCGAACGCAGGCACGCCAGCTACAGTATGTGGAAGGCATACAGGGCACATCCATGTACATTCATATGGACTACCTCAGTGCAAGCACTAGCGCTCAATGAGCACACCTAGTCACCGTTACAAGTTACAACACAGGAGGCACAGTGCATCAGACTAAAAGTAGACCAGACCCATTACCACCCGAATTATTTCAAAGTCGATAACATTCACAGTAAGGCGAGACCAAAAAAAATTAGTGATTCCCGGGCCCTCCCGCACCAAAATCGAGCCAAGGCCAATTTTTTTTTTTTGAACAGTTCATAATACATGTACAGTACTAATCGTGTGAGTAGATCTGTGACGTGGAGTCACACAAACCCGGGCTTGTACGGCTCCCTGATGTACAGATCAGGACCATCGTTGGCCGAAATACAGAAAAATTGAACGGGTAAACCGCGTGCCTGTTTTTTGTGAAATTTGAATAAAAATAAATAAAAATTACTGGAAAATACTGTAAAAAAAGCTCGGCATGGCATGCGCATATGCGCATACACACAGCCATAGGAGAAAAAAATAAAAATTCGCCCGCCCGCACCAATTTCACATGGGTCCTGCCCGGGAATCTCGATTTTATTTTGGTCTCGCCTAAAGAAAGGATGACGTGCTCCCCAACTGCATCTAGTTTACGGGCGATATGTTAAACCACTACACTAGATGAAGAGATAAAGAAATGAAGAGCCCATATCACATTGCTCATACAAATCTTTACAAGTGCTAGAGCTCTCCAATCTCACCTGCAACAGTTGTACCCAGGGTGAAACGCACCGGGCCTCCCACACCATACGAGTTTGTTCCCACGCACGTGATGAGAGTGGGGTCGGGGAAAGCGCCGGTAAAGTGGAAGTACAGCGCCTTGGCCGTGGTATTGACGACGGCATCGAGGCTGTTCAGTGTGATGGCATTCACACCACCCACATACCAAGTGATGTCAGGTTCCGGATCGCCAACAAGAGGACACAGTAGCGTCACTCTTGTGCCTAGGGAAATCCTCTTGGAGTTGTTTAAGTTGCGGCCTGCCTGTATTTCAGGAGCAGCTGGGGAGAAAAAGAAACGCAGGGAACCAATGTGGTGACTGGTAATGGGAACGGCTGCACGTAAATACCGATATTTTATTCAAAATGAAACCTACACAGAATAACAAGGGCAGTCAAGGCTGGTTAGTCACTACTCTGAGTTCCATGCTTATGCAATCCGCATCAGGCAACAGCATGTTGCCTGATGCGGATTGCGTAAGCATGAAACTCAGAGTAGCAACTAACTACCCTTGATTGCTCTTGTTATTCTGTGTATTACACTCTGCCCCGCGGTGTTGAGCATTGTCAGCACACTGGGTGCATCCTCCGGAAAAATGAAACTTATAGATTCTCCTCATACTCCCTCCCCCATGCATGCTGACTGTTGTGTCAATATTTTCCAGAGCACCAACACCAATGTCTACAAAATACAAACTATTACTAGTATTCGGTGTGTGTCGGTGTGGTCGCTTACTGAACACACGCAGCGTCACAAATGCGTTGGCTGTTCCGGCGGTGTTGTTGGCTCTGCATTCGTACACACCGGCGTCATTCAACACAGCACTGTACACGGTGAGTACACTGGAGCCGGGTGACCATTCCACACGTCCTGGGACATTGGTCACGACCGACACACCTTTCAGCCAGGTGAACGACAGCGGTGCGCCGGTGATCGGACACGTCAGGTTCACCGCCTTCAGTTTCACGGCATCTGTTGAGTTGAAATCTGTCGGCAGTACACTTGGCTGAGCTGCAGTGAACAGAGCAAACATGCCAGTTCCAACCGTTCGCCATTGTTTAAACAAAGTCAGAGTATTTCCTAGGCAGCTTTTGACTTGCTTATGTGTAGCACTGATGAACAAAACAGAATAGTTGCTGCACTCCACACCATGCTATACAAAAACAGTATGTTCTAATGTCACACCTGTCCTTGATCAGTGAAGGTGGAGTAGTAAACTGCCCATTAGCTACCGACAGTGCCCCTCTTTCTTTCTTTCTCTCCCTCCCTCCCTCTGGTACCAGGTGCTTTATTGGCGAGGGGCGAGCCGCTGTTTACCTGCGACAAGAAGTTGATTTTTCGAAAGACGTAAAACTCAAGTCGCAGTGCAAAACATCACGTCAAAAACTCACCTGCTTGGTATGGCGCTTCTGGTCATCGCAGAGCCATGAAATTTTGGCTCGGAGTATAACACATTGTAGTTTCACTGTGACATATGTTTTCTAATCAAAACACCAAGTGCGAAAGTGAATATTGAGTCCGTTCCGGTTTGCTACCTACCGGTATATCCTATTTGAAACCGTCGCCTCTACAGTAGTGCCGGGGGGGGGGGGGGCGACGAATGAGCAGGCTAGAATTTTACCAGGCACAGCATATCAATGTATACACGGTGACTCAACTGTGCATATACTGCAATGCATGAAAATAAGAATGGTCTCGGCTAGGAGGCTGACCACCCAGTTGTTCGGCGACCGACAGCACTGTACTTTAGCATGAGTCAAAGGACATGATAGCATAATGAATGCAGGTGCACTGCTGCACTGCTGCACTGCTGCACTGCTGCACTGCCGCACTGCCGCACTGCTGCACTGCTGCGGTGCCTACACAAGGACTTACTGACTTCATTGACTAGAACAAGAGTAGATTGAACCCTCGTGCCAATGATTCCCACGTTAGGGCTGGTCACTGTTGCTGTACAGCCATATCTGCCTGCCTCGAGCTTGGAGAGCGGTGTGAATGTGAACTTGGACGATGTCTGGCCAAGCACTGGAGACCCGTTGCGAGTCCAGGCGTACGTCGGGGTTGGCTTGCCCTCCGCCGAGCAGTCCAGCGTGATCGGATAGTTGATGTAGACCGGGTAGGATGTTGCAAATTGTGACACAAAGGCAGGTTTTGCTGCACAGCCAAGAAACATGCCACACGTCATAGGCATTTAATATGAGCCGCTTATAAGCTGGAAACATAAGGCATTTATTTCAAAATAACCTTGGCCCGTTTCGTCTCTTCTCTTCTCCTCTCCCCATCCCCATCCCTCCCTTCCCCCTCTGCAATGTTCAGCATACACTCACTATGGCTGTTCTTTCCACTGCTAAATACAGCAAGTTCTTCTCAGGCCTGAGCCGGTTTTCTTACATGGACACACCCATAGTTTCACAGCTTCACAGCCGGGCCTGCTTACCGGTTCCAAGGACGAAGAATCTCACGCAAAACGAGTCAAAATCTGCTGTGACCGATGCCGTGGCATTAGCTCGAAGCTGAGTGGAAAGAGTGAGCTTGACTCCACGCACCAGCGAGTCTGGAGGAGCACTGATGTTCTGGTGAATCCAGGTCCACTGCTCCGATGTGGTCGTGAACACACGCTGGTGCAGAGCCGCATCGGACACGGGCAGTTCAGCCGGTCCACGCTGCAAGAAGTCCATAGTTGCCACAGCCTGCGCGCCAGCTGATCCACTGGACGCCTCGACCCTCATTCGAAAGCTGCAAGCGCAAAGACAGCATCTCATTTTTCATCATTTTCACCAAGTACGGCTCCTTGTCACGGACTACTAATTTATACTTCTTGCAAATGCTGCAAAAGAATTATTATAAGAACTGCACAGCCCAAAAACTCTGGATTTCTGGTATTCAGTGAGAACAATGGCTGTTTACACACGGCACTAGCATTGCACAAAGTCCTCAGACCTGGAGTCCCACTAGAGACCAGGAATAGCTGCAAGTGCTAAGAATAAGGTGATGGGAAGTAGCACTTGTCTCTTTGTGCACATCAACTACAGTACAACAGGAAGTTCACAAGTCAGATATCAAGGCAGCCATGAACCTGGAGATACATGTGCTTTGGAATAGGTGTGTGTGTGTGTGTGTGTCTGTCTGTCTGTGCGAATGCATGAAGAGCGTGCCCCGTGTCAGCTACTGTTTGGCACCCTACATCCTGTCTGTCTGATGTGCGGCCCGAGGAAAAGGTGGCGCGATGCTGCGCGGAAGGATCTGGCAGTGTTGGGCATCAACGAATGGTACGACTTGGCCGAGGATAGACGGGAATGGCGGGCCGCTTACAATGTTCTGCCCCGCCCGAACCCGTTTGTGAGCCCCTGCGGATACCTTGTGCCGAGTGTGGTCGTCTCTTCTCCAGGAGTGGTTTGCCTCGTCATAAATGCCTCGGTGAGCGCCGCAAACCTGTATCGGAACAGAGAGGTAGCCGACAATGTTCTTCTGCAGGCGCTGGTTCCGCAGTACTGGAGGTTTGGCGGTCCACAAGTGCCCCACCTCCCAGACGCTCCCCGCGACATCGTCTCAGGCTCTGTGCCGGTCAGCGGTGTCCACCATTGCTGCTCAGACGACTCCTCCGCCGCCGCGTGTCCGGCTCGCCCTCTCATGTTGCAAGGCCCACTGTGGGGCCCGTGGTTGGTGCTGCCACTCTACTCGTGGATTCCAAATCCATAGCTGCCAAAGATGTCTCTCTCGTCGTGCCAATTGAACATGGTCCCTGATCTCTTGGCAGACTGCCGACTTTCTGCCGTCGCTCGTCGTTCCATGTTGTCGGCCCAGCAAGGGGACATGTGACCGTAATCGCAGTGCTTACCAGGACCAGGACCAGGTGTGCGCGCGCGCGTGTGTGTGTGTGTGTGTGTGTGTGTGTATGTGTGTGTGTGTGTGTGTGTGTGTGCATTTGCACGCGTCTGCAGTAGAGGTAATAATATGAGCATATAACACATCAATACAGGCTCTTTCAAATGCAGCACTTACCTGAAAGAGACAATAGCCAGGCCGATCGTGATCTTCATGTATCTGCTCAGAGAGCCAGAGCCAAGTCCTGGACGAGCCGTTACTGTAAAGTATCTATTACCTGTGCACATATAAGCAAGCCCATGATACCATGATACCATGATGCCATGATACCATGATACCATGATGCCACACGTGTACAAGCCTTACACTGGCCATGATGCTACACGTGCAGTACATGACGAAACCTGTGCTGCAGCAACCACAAGTCTTACACTAGCGCAGATCAATGATTATGTACAGTACTAGTACAAGGCCGTCACAGCTGGGGCCGCCCCACTTTTTCGGCCGTTTTTATTTATTATTATTTTTTTTTAGCACACTGCAAGCGCGAAGATCGCAGCTCAGCCCAAACGTGGCAAATAATGAAGAATCCTCGCCCCCGATCGTGGTTTATTGAAGAATCAAAAATGTTTTTCATTGCACTAGGTACACTGAAATGGCACCAAATGCCTGAAAATGCTTGCGATTGGCTTCAATTTTTGAAATTTTTCCTGGGGAGGATAATGAAGAACCCTTGTCCCCGATCGTAGCGTCTTTTTGGCTTGTTGCAGAATCAAAAAGTATTTCATTGTAGTTACACTGAAATGGCACCAAATGCCCGGTAATGCTTGCAATTGGCTTCAATTTTCGAAATTTTTCCCGGGGAGGGCCCCCGGACCCCCCTTCCATGGCCGCCCCACCTCCAAAGTCGGTGCAACGGGCCTGTAGTATGATGCGCATCAGTTGTGCACGTCACTCACAGAATGCTATCATGCCACGCTGCTAGGCAATGGGCACTGTACAGTGTACAGATGTTCTTAACACCACACATGTACAATGCACATGTACACCACACATGTACACTGCACATGCCCACTGACCAGTGCACTGCGATGCAACAGCAGTTCATCATACTCCACTGGCACATTCACATGATATTTCTAGTAGCTGTCACATCAGTCCATCTCCAAGAACTCTCAGTGCCGTTTATAGGGAGCTTGACTGGGGTTTTTTTTTCTTCAAATCGTGTGTACATCTATTTATCACGTCCTGAAGTGCTTCTCCGGAACTTTACCTGTTAGAGTGGTTCCACCAAGTCCAACCGGTTGTGAAGTATTCCAGGCAACGTTTGGCGCCATGGTTCCGGTGGGATTGGTGATGTGGTTAGTTGACGATCCTCCACAGGAATCTGTTGTAGAAAATAGATACGCGACAAGCATGCTTGACTACATGTTATCTCAAAATACCACTAGCCTGTATACTTGTACCACTAGCCTATACACTTGACCACGGGGAAGGGCATACACAGAAGCGTATGTGTACAGGTATTCCATAATGCTGCATCTTGCCCCGGCAACACCGTTACCGTGCCAAAGCGAGACACTCATGCACAGTGTACACAACATTTCAAAAAGACAGCTGTCTCCCTTATAACATGCATACAACTGCCTTAGCCCTACTGCGGGACTTTCCCACTTAGAGCAGGATGGCTGGCTACCCTCTACAGTGTAGCCAGCGTTGACATGACACTGATTTGCCCTAACCCAATCACCAGTTTTATTCAATTCGTATTCACCATACAATAGTATAAATAAGTTGCGATGTGCTGCTGCCTTAGCACACATCGCTGTGTATAGGCTGTCACACGGATGTCTAGCCAATAGCAGCACTCAGTACTAACTGATTTGATCAAGGGAAATGCTGGCCGTCTGTGTCCCGCCGGTGCACACGTACGTCACAGCATCGTCACTGGCCAAGACGGACTTAGTAGCCAGAATCAGGCCCGTGCTGCTGCTTGCGCCTATCGTGATGCCACTGCTGGCCAGACTCAACGCTGGCGCGGGACGACCGGTCACTCTGCAGCCTACATAGGCACGGCGTGTGGGTGTTGTGGCTATCACGAAGAGCTTCGGTGCGGTGAATGGCGTTACTACTGGATCAGCTGTGTGCACACAAAGGGAAGTTTGACGCATGTGACGCCCACACAAAAGAATACATTGCATAATGAGTAAGCTCTATAAGTGCCATGCAGTGTTAGCAGGTATTCTGACATTGTTAAGAGCAGTAGTACAAAGTACACTCCAGCAGATGACGAATGCAGTCCTCTGGGAACCTAACAGTTCCATGCCACACAGCTGCCGACCTGTACTGGCCTGTTTTAATAAGTACACTGTGCACAAGCACGACTCTGTGGCACATGAGTGACACTGTACGTGCATGCGCGCGCGCGCGCGCGCGTGTGTGTGTGTGTGTGTGTGTGTGTGTGTGTGTGTGTGTGTGTGTACATGTAGCATATAAATTAAAAAAGGAAATGCATAATAGCCGTGTCACTTTGTGTGGTGATAATATTCTCATAATCCACTCGAGGTAAAAGTAAGTAAAGCTACCCGGATTCGCGGGCACATAAGCTAACGTTTTGAGACATCAAGCAAAGACATTCGCACCGGTGGGTCACCACCTCACCCATATATCCTAGTATTAAATGCAGACTTCACACGTGAGTCAGGGGAGAGGGGATACGTCTCTCAACACAACGGACATACAACCTAACCCCATGGACCGCATCTACTCAAGGTGGTGTTGATTGCAACACTGACTGTGGATATCACAGCGGCAAGTTGCTTACAGATGACATCAAGAGCACCAGCAACGGCGGTGTTGTTACCATCCACCACAACTGTATAAACGCCGGCGTCGGCTAGAGATGTGACTGTGACCGGCAGAGCAACCTGGATAACCCGTCCAGCGGTCCCTGCCAGGGTCTGCTCGGTGCGCACCACCACACCGTCCTGCTCCCACAGGAACGCAATAGGGCCGGTGGTCGCAGGAAGGATCGTGGCTGGTATTCTCACCACTTCATTGATGCGTGCCTGCGTGACGCTGGCATTGAAGCTGACCGGGCGACCTCTGCCCGCTTGAGGAGCTTCTACAAACAGCATGGCAACGCCACATCGGCACAGAAGGGACAGGTACAACAGAGTACGAAGAATCTTCACACAAGCACTGAATGAAAAGGGGTCAAAGCAGTGAAGTTGCTCACACCTGCTGTCGGGTACACGACGATGCGACACGCATGGCATGGCATTGCTCTGCCACTATGCGACATGCATGGCATGGCATTGCTCAGCCACTATGCGACACGCATGGCATGGCATTGCTCAGCCACTATGCGACATGCATGGCATGGCATTGCTCAGCCACTATGCGACATGCATGGCATGGCATTGCTCTGCCACTATGCGACACGCATGGCATGGCATTGCTCTGCCACTATGCGACATGCATGGCATGGCATTGCTCTGCCACTGTGCGCCAGACACTATATCCGTGACTGTAGCTAGCTAGCTGAACCAAATTTAGAATGGATGTGTGCTTATCAACGTTGTCCTGGTACTGCAGATACAACAATGCCATGCCTCCTGGAATACAAACTTCATTGACCCGGGGCCAAAAAAGTTCAAACCAGAGCGACAGGAGAAAGGTGCTGTAGCGTGGGTAAGAGCTCCCAAGACAAGGTGCTGTAGCGTGGGTAAGAGCTCCCAAGACAAGGTGCTGTAGCGTGGGTAAGAGCTCCCAAGACAAGGAGACTAACCACCGGCAGACTTACTTACCGATCAAGACAATGACTGTATGCTGCGCACTGTCCAGCTGCTTTAGCGTGCTGCTTGCTGTGCATGTGTAGTTTCCCTCGTCCAGGGAGTTCACAGCCTCAACAGTCAGCCATCCGAGACTGGAATCAATGCCTATCTTCTTACTCGCTGTCAAAGCTACGCCATCCTGCAGAGTGAGGCGAAACGCCAAGCCAAGAGCAACAAGAACGATTGTTCTGGTGCCGGTGCTGCAGAATTACACTGAGACTGGCTGCCAATTCGGCAGGGCAGGCATGCTCCCTGCATGGAATGATTATAACGCTGAACCCAGGGTCAGAGCATGGGTTTGAACATTTAACAGTGCTAGAGACGCAGCAATCAGGATCTATGTAATCTGAATGTACAGGTGAGACGAAGAGTCGCACAGTAAACAAGGGGGTTGGAAATTTCACTTACATGTATAAAAGCAGAAAAATGTGTGTGATGTGGATGTGGATGTGGAAAACGAGAATTCAATTGCTGGAAAGCCGATGGGCTCTTCAAGGCTGCTGCTAAGATGTATCTCGGCAAATGGGATTCATGCATTAGCACATCGGCAAGTATACCCAGCTTCAAGGTAACTTCCGTATATACCATACATGTGCTATGTGGGCGGGCGCCATGTGGTCTGACCCGTATAGGGTGCTAGCAGTATACATAACGACCACAGACGGAGACAGCGGATACCTTGCTCCAAGAAATGCTAGGACTCGGATAGCCGGTCACAATGCACGGCAGTAAGACTTGACTGCCCATCACAACTTGCAGCGATCTCATTGCCGTTGACAATATCTTCACTGGTTCTGTGAACAGGAAGTAAGAACAACGCACCACGCACCACGCACACAGGACTAGTCATGTCCCTTGCAGGATAAGAATAGGATTTATAAACAAAACACATCTACCACGCCGGTATACCACATGCACATTCCACAGCGCAGCCAATTTCACGTTAGACAATCATGCGCACGTACATTATGAGTTCAGTTTGAATATTTAATGGAACCACGGTAATTTACCCGTGAGTAGTCCAACGCTCCTTACTAAAATGGCACGTTTCTCAATGTGGCTAGTGTCTACTTGATGTACTGGTTTCATGCAAAGCAGGGCACATCAGAGGCTGGATGGATTGTATCCTTTGTGCACCTGCAAGTACATAGATGAGGCTTTACTGCATAGCATGGTTGCTGACCGTCGGGCAAGGCACACTCTAGTCGCTCACCTTGGATGTCGACGTTGAAGTCGACTGCAGCAAAGTGCTGTGTGTTCTGTCCAACACACGAGTACCAACCACGGTCCAATGGTCGAGCATTGCTGATCGTGAGCGTGCTGATCACCGCGTTGGTTGCTGCGGATGTCCCAGTGATGGCCATGGCATTAGAGCTGTTGCTGATGAAGATGTTGTCCTTCCTCCAGGACAGGACGGCAAGTAACTGACCACTGAGTACACTACCGCCGCACTTCAGCGTCACCGTTTCACCCTCCATGCCATACACCGTCTCTGGACTTTGCCGGAACAATGTGATCTGGCAAGCACACCGTTGTACAGCCAGCAACAGCCCTGCAGCAACATACACACACCAGAGACCAACTCGCACACTAGCGTGTTGAATGTTTGTTTGCCCTCGAAAATTCCCAATCGCCTGTGCGTGACCCATAACATACCGATTACTATGAAAATTATGCTCTTTTGCATTGAAATTTATGCTCCCTAGTTTTTTTCTTAGTTGGACTTTCCTTCTGGTTCGCATCATGGTTGTCTGTTCCAAACACTTGGGATGGGACCGTACAATAGAGGTACACAGCCGATTTCTTGCTGTCATCATTTCCGTCCAGCTCGTCCACTTTGCGACTCGCGACTTCATCGTCCACCGCATCACCGTCAATATTACCTTCAGTCTCGTCTTCCGTGTTGTCACCTTCCATGCTGTCACTACCCGCCACTTCCTCAGCGGTCTCATGTTCGTTGGTCTCCGACTTTTGACTTATCCTTCAAACTCTCCAATCACAACCCCCATTACTTGAGTCACTTACATTTCATGATTTCTGGTGTCATCATAGTCGAGTGCATAATTTGCTATTGGTCGCAAATGACTCGCAATGCACTAAACACTTGAGAAATATGGAGGGTGTGAAAGTCCGGAATTCAAGCAACATTTCATGGCACAGCTAGTATGGGTAGAATAGAGCACTGGGTCATGACCATTCGATAGGCAAACCCTAACGGAAAGAAGCCCACTGGTTCTGTACAGTCATGCTATTTCCAGTGTCAGACATCATTGAACACTGTGCGCAGGGAATGGGGAGCAAAAGGAACATGTCCAAAATTAAAAAATAATGACTCCAAAATCCAAATACAGGGCCAACATGAATTGTCAGGATTGTAGTGCTGCCAGCCTTCCGTGTTTTTCCGTATTTGTACGGAAATTCACTCCTTTGTCCGCAGTACGGAAATGGACCGAAATTGTACGCAAAACTGAGAAGCATGGATCAGCTGACTATGAACCAGTTTTTTTTTTCAATGTGTCCTGTACATGGCATGGTACTACATGTACATGACTATGTACATAATTGCATGCAGAGCACATAAAACTACGGAGTAGACCTACTATCACGCTAAAAATAGTGTTCCTGACTGCAACCTCGAGCCTCAGTCAGGGACAAAGCTTTTCAAGCGCTGTGTAGGTCTACGTGTGTTGCACACCATTACTGGCTGTCCTACACTAGGCTACAATTCACGTGACGCACAGTAGTTACTTCCTGGGACCAAGACCATGTAGATCTACTATACGACTTACTGAGCACCCGGTACAGTACCCTGAAGACTACAAATGTCGCAAAAAAACATTATATCATGGGATGAAAAAAATTGGTAGTACGGAAAACTCTGGAAAAAATGGAAATTCAGCAGTCCCAGTACGCAAATCAGACCGAGCAGGTTGGCAGATACAGTGTCAGTGCCATAACGTGTTCTGGTGCAATGTGACTAGTGGGCGCTCATTTACCCGTGCTAGGGACTGGGTGACGATCGACAGCAAAAAGAATGAAACACGGAACAGACTGGGGCCGGCTACTTCAAGTAAGTAATTAGTTAGTACTTGTATGCACGCCGTAGCCTATGGATTCAAATCGCACATTCACAATGGCATACCTCCTTTCGCTTTGCATCACCCACGCCATAGCCTATGCATAGATGGCACCTGAATGCTTTGCATGGGCCAGCCAGCTCCACTGCAAGAGTCAGTGGGATCAGATACTCATACTAGCCTAGTATTAGTAAGTAGGGCAGTGTCCGAACGATACCGCTACTACAGTGTAGTATGACATTGCAATTCTGTTACTCCGAGTCAGTCCTGATGGTCAGAAGTTAGTTCGCTAGCAACTCTGAAAATTTAGTGAGAAAAGCTCTCCACGGCACCCCACAGAATACACACACCTACCAAAAACTACTATACAAAGGTTAAGAATACCGCGAAGCTACCTCACATGCTCAAACATAAGTGTATTGGAAGACCACCAAGAGAGCCTAACTAGCCGAAGTCCGATCATGGAACGAGTACTAGTAGCTGGAGAGGTCCAACACTCACTCTTACACTCTTTCTGAAACATGAAAGCAGCTCAAGAAGTGGGTGGAAAAACTTTGAAGTTTTCTTTACAACCATTCAAAGGCTTACCGATGCAGAGGCTAAGGGCGACTGCGGGTGTTCCTTTCATGGTCATCTCCGCATATTCATTGGGCTCTGGTGTGGAAAGGCGAGCGCCGAACTTCGGCGAGGGGAGCAATCAGTGATCACTCCCTTTCCTTCCTGCTTATGGCGGTACAAGACCGCTGAACGCTACTGGCACACTTCTGCAAACAAACACACGAGTCCGCCGAACTGCTACGACCAACTCACCGAATCGGCAAGGAGCGGCAGAAAAACCGGTCGACGCTCCGGGCGCACACATGCACATCATACACTGGACTGAGGTCTGTGGCACACTCCCGATCCCGTCGTGCATGCTAATGCATGCTTATGCTGGAGAAATCCGGTCTCATGACTAAAGCTCCGGTGCAGCCGGTTAGCCATGACCTGTGCTGTGTACATACACTCAGATACAGTCTGTGTAATGTAGACCATGACGATGATTGTAGACCATGCATGGCAGAACACGATGATTGACCAGCATGTAAAACTATTATTAATTGGCATGATCATGATCATGATCATGATGGTAGATACAGACGGTCATCATCATGATCAGGCCCACCCATGTACCATGGAGAGAGCCCACCCATGTACCATTGATGTAGATCTACCATGAGTACATGATCATGATGTAGACCTACCAGACCAGATAAGACATGCATGGGGATGTGAAGCTAGCAAAAGGGAGGCGCTTCAATGAAAAATATAACAGGGTAGACTACAACGGGGTCAATACGTTTCCTTGTATGTACTTCGAAGTAGCCAATCCGGGTAATAATGTTAGCTAGTGATGTCAGAACCACACACACATGCGCCATGATGCGGTGACGCAGTCTGTCTGAACTGAAGACGTGAAGTAAGTGGCGACAGCAAGACAAGTGGCAGTGGTGGAGCATTATGATCATTCCGATAATGATGACTTTGCACATGTCCTCAGCCAGGTCGTGGAGACTGTCGTGTCCTGCACATAGTCATTGGGGTAACCTCCCGCGACAGCGCGTCCATGTTAGCGCGGTGCAGTTCAGCGCGACCGCCTTAGCGCGACGCATTTCAGCTCTGTGCCATTTCAGCGCCGTGTCTTGACAGCGCCAATGATTTCAGCGCGAAATTTTAAAGCGCAGGACATGTCAGCGCCAATTTCTTCAGCGCAGATTTTTTCCGCGGGAGGCACTTCAGCGCCGTACATGTACATGTACGTACGGGCACCAATTAGTGACTATCAATTACTGTTGACAACTTGTACGGGGTATGCTGTCGTCAACTGATGGCATTGCCATTCCTGCCAGAAGACCAGGTCACAGGCGCCTTCGATTGGTTGGAGGAGATCGCCTCTGATTTAAACCTTCAACAATTGACAGTGGACACAGTGGATTGAGAATGCTAACGTTCCAATGTCGCTGTGGTGCTGCCATGGAAGGGATGTCAGGACCAACAACGGTGTTGAGGGATGGCACCGATTTAGCCGAAAGGTGAACACCACCCATCCCAACGTTTGTGTGCTGTTGGAGCAACTGAAGAAGGAGGCTTCGCGTACGGAGCTTCTTGCCGCCAGATGCCAGATGCCAGATGCAAGCTGGCCAGCGCATCCCAGTCGGGAAAGCTTCATACACTCGACTTAACGATCGAGTTCGCGTCCTGGAAGTCAGATGTGCAAATGGGGAAATCACTAATAATTTGAATTTCTTTCGAATGTTGGTCGACTCCTTCATTTCTAATCTACTGATTCTCTTGTCATATCGCTATATGCCTACTAAATAATTTCAATAAACTATGTGAAAACAAGTTTGTCAAAGAATCACCAAATCACCAAATCCCGCTAGCGAGAGTGCAGACGAGACCACTAATTCCGTGCGTACGATAATGCGCACAATACTGCGTACTATAGTACGCGCGAAAGTGCTTCGCGCTGACATTGTATGCGCTGAAGTGCCTGGCGCTGACGGTACCTCACGCTGACAGTACATCGCGCTGAAATGCCTTGCGCTGACATTACCTCGCGCTGAAGTGCCTCGCGCTGACACTACCTCATGCTGAAATGCTTTGCGCTGAAGTGGTCGCGCTGAAATGCCTCGCGCTGTAGTGGACGCGCTGTCGCGGGATGGAATCGTCATTGGCAGCTGGAACGACACATCCCTATCTTTTCGGTACGCCGTGGCGGAGAATGCTCGAAAAATTGGCAAATTCTGCTCGAAAAGCATTGAGATTGGCAAAACACTTCAAAGTTTATGACCTCGACTGCTCCTCTTCTTTATCAATACATTGTAAGCCAAAGTAACCGGGTAACTGAACATGAAACATACCAGAAAAAGTACCAAATCCTTCCAGTTCTGCCCGAAGTACCGGCCAAGGGCCAATTTTTGGTGATCTGACTTTCTAAAACTATAGCCCCTCCCACAGACGGTATAGAAGAAGAACCAATCACGGGATCATTTGTCCGGGTAGAGGGACATGACGCAATGCCATGGGGTCGACAGTATCATCATCCACTTTCAGCTGGGTCGAGACATAGTCACGCTGAAAGTGGTGGCTGGTGCAGCTCAGTACTCGTGCTGTGTTCCTGTGATGCATCCCCAGCCTTGAACACGACCTGAGCTGAACAATAACAAGAGCATAGTACATGTACAGCAATCACGGAGATTCACCAGCACAGCCATCATGCAACACGAAGAACTGTAACACATCCATGGGAGAGAAATGGGGTGGTTAAAACACAGCTGGGATGGCAAAATGGCGGCAAACACACGCCCGAACTGTGAAGTGACTACCGGTACTGCAAAACACACCCAGTGACACATCCAGCTAGAACAACGCCCGTTGTTCACTGTACACTGTACTATGATTGTACTGTACATGTCGCTAGCCTGCTACTGCAAGTAAGTTCTTGCTTAGCAATCATCAGGCAAATGATTTTGCGATGTGCAGAACCAATACATTTCTGGAAGAATGAAGGTCGCGGAAATGTTGACATGGGGCAGTGGGATACTCTTGGTATTGGCTCAGTGTTCGAGCCATCTCTGCTTAGGTCTGCACCTTTTGGTTGTGAGCAGTTGGAAGTCATGACGTGTGCGTGAAGCAGTAAGAAAAACCGGGAAATGTGAATCGATAGTTCAGGAGTTGGATGCAAAGGCAGTTTGAACAAGATGGAAATGGTCATGATAGGCAGTGGCATAGCATTGGCTGTTCGCGCTATCTCTGCTAAGGTCTTTATCTATAGCGTTGTGTGAAACAGTGAGAAGTGCCGGGGAATGTGATAGTTCAGGAGTTGGGTGCAAAGACAGAGTGAGCAAGATGGAAATGGTGATAATAATTATGTGATCATGTGGTAGGCAGTGAGATAATATTGGCTGTTCGCGCCATCTCTGCTAAGGTCCTTCATCTATACAGCGGTGTGTGAAACAGTGAGAAGTGCCGGGAAATGTGATAGTTCGTGAGTTACAAATCAGTGTAGGCTGGTGTTAAACTGTTGTTGTTGTTGTTGAAATTTTATTTTGTATCGCAGACCAAACGGGCAATGGTGCCCAATATTATGATGGCGATAAAGTAACGGCCGAGAGCCAAGGATACAACAAGCAAGCCTCCACGAAAGAGAGAAAAACACAGAAAACACAGACTGCAAATACTCAAAAAGAAAAAGAGTCACGACTCCAACTCCAAGCCTAGATGCTGGCTAACCATAAAAATAAACCTTTAAAAGTCTCTTGAATGATCTATGGCAGGCGAGGGGCTTGAACTCTTGGGGCAGGGCGTTCCATAATCTAACAGCAGAAACGAGCGGCCGACAGTCACCAGAGACTCGCCTGGTGGCAGGGACAACATACGCATTTGGATCGTTGATCCGAGTGACGCCTTCAGTCTGGCGACGTAGGCGCTTGGACAGGAGATTACTAATTCTGGCGGTGTGGATACGAAGTGACGATCTCCGAGTTCTCCGCGAGGCCGTGATTGATAGGTTGCAGCGTTTGCTGGTGTTTGAGCACGCCTTCGCACGAGCCGCGGTCTATCGTCCACTTCCAAGTAATAGTTCTTCATGTAGTCGTGCTACGCGTCTTTGAGGCATGCACCAGATATGTTTTGACGATTTCCTGCTTCAGCGATGCTTCTCATGTCAGAATGAGGAGAGATGGTTGGCGTGGCGCTGCTTGAATGCAGTGCAGTTGCATGCGCCAATGTAACATTATGTCAGAGCGTTCGGGAGGATCACAATTATTAATATTTGAAGCGTCACCTCATGTAATAGTTCCGCTCAACTCCGTAGCCGGCTAGCCCATCATCTCCTTAGTAGGAGGGACGTCAAGGGTCAAAGATGCGCGCGCGCGCATGTGTATGTGTGTGCATGTAGTTGAAACTTAGATCAGTTTTTTCAGTTGTAAGAACTGGATAGCTTGAAGCCTTCCGGTGGTTGAGTGTGCCTCCCTGACTGACGTGAAGGTTAGGTACCTAGATAGATGTGTAGCTGCTGGGCTGGTGTGTCTGCCAGGGCAAGCTAGCAGGAGGTGGGCAGCATCTTCGACTGTTCCGGGATAGTGAGGGCAATCGGGTGAGGGTGCAGCAGCAATCTGGTACATTTGGTACAGGTACTTGTTAAGGAGGCTGCAGTGGCCGGTGAGGAGCTGATTGAGGATGGTGGTCTCATATTCGCTATCATAATATTATTGGGCAATGATCCCGTTTGACTTTGCGAAGTAAAAATAAAGAATACAATACAATCGTGCCGGGACGGAGTGCTGCAGAACTTGCTGGTGTTGAGCAATGGCCGGGGGTAGGCGGTTGCAAACTGAATTGAAGCCTCGGCAGCTTGGATAAGCAGCTGGACCAGGGTCTATACACCGTGTTCCATGCCGGGCTTATCATTGAGAGCAACACCGCGGTGGCTGCTGATCCAGACAAGGTTGGTGGAATTAAGCTGCTTTCCGAGCAACATCTGTCAGAGCATCGAACGCAGGGATGGTGTCGGGGTTGATCATGCATGTGTCAGAGCATCGAACGCAGGGATGGTGTCGGGGTTGATCATGCATGTGTCTCCACGGAGGGCATCTACGTGAGAGAGGCTGTCAGTGACCAGCACAACGTCCGTCTCCGTGGTAGTAAGTCGTAGACCGCCCCCAGGCCAGCTGTTGCTCCGGCTACTTCTGCTGTGAAGGGTGTTGCGACAGCTCCAGCTGGTAGTGGTAGACTCCCAGACAGTATCTCTGACCGCTGGGTTTCAGTGGTTTCCATGACAGGAAATTGAGGAAAACCACCTCTACCAGTGTTGGTGTGGGACATACTGCCATCTGCCCAAATGTCTAGACGCCGCAAGGAACAATAGGAGCGATAGGCTCAGTCTTCAAGACATGCCAGTGTCTCCACAAGTCGCACAATAGGAGGGTCAGACCGGGTGCAAGCGGACTTGAGAATGGATAGGTTCGGAACGGAGGGCCAGGATGGAGGACGGGATGGCAGAGGTGCAGAGGAGAAAGTGGAAGATGTCGCTCTGCCGTTTGCCTCCAAGTCTCCTTGGTTTTGCGGGTTTTGCTGGAGCAGGGACACTATGTCGCTTCGCAATGTGAGCGATGCAGGCCGCCTGGCGCTCGACTGATGAAGTCGATCCTTTGTCTGCCGTGACTTTTTCCTCACCCACTTACTGAGGTGTGGTGAACCCATGGCATAAGTGGGATCATTTCCAAGTCCACCAATAGTTTGGGGATTTCAGGGGTGTCGGCCGTTGGGCGGTTTAAAAGCCAATCGGGGCGTTCCGAGATTCCCAGTTTTGAATCGTTCTCCCCTCTCCACTCCGACAAGTCTCCAGGGAAACCCATGTGACCAGTGTTGGCAGTGAGCAACAAGTACAAGATACATGTACAGTACAAATGGTATTATGTGCGTGCCAGTGTGTGCGTGCGCGGCGGGCCGGGGCGTGTATGTTCCGATATGTGTACGTGTTACACTGTATCGTGTATGTGTGCCTGCGTGCACGTGAGTGGAACAAACATGCAACCGGCACCATAGACGCTATAGAGCATACATGTAGAGACTATGGAAGCCAGAGCTAGGAGTAGGACTAGCTTTCAGCTTCAACTTACTTGAGTTTCACGCACGGCAAAGCGAGTCTCAGCCCGCCGCTCATTCAGGCAACACTCTCTAGTCTAGCCTAGGCCAGGGAGTTGTCAAATAATACCATTTTGACGACTCCCTGCTCTAGCCATACTACAAAATACAATAGTACATGTACTACAGGCTGTTCTTAGTGTTCTACGAGCTATGGCTGAAATCAGTTGATCATGTGACTAGTAATCTTTTGTGATGTATGATCTCATTGTTCATTTGCAGTTGGGCCAGGGTGACGTAAGGGGGTTTCCCGCCAAATTCAAATAATTTCGAAATGTGCATCCACTCCACTTCTGCTAAAATTCTGATGTGGCGAACGGCAGGACACACACAGTGGACAGAAAGTAAATGAACTCAATGGTTGTGGCTTTCTGGTTGTTGTGAGAGTTCTTCTTGGTCACACCAGTACATGGGACCTTTTTTCTGACTACAACCATGTCCCAGAGTTCCGAGATGGCTCAAAGTCAGAATCAGGAGAACACACCCCCCGAAAGCCTAGGTGTGGCGAGAATTCTGCGGTCGAGTGGCGCACGGCTCTTCAAGAGTCATTCCAAGAAAAAACAGCCTTTGCAGCAGCGCCATAGTGTTGATGATGAGGGAGAGAGTACTGGACTTCACAAGGTAAGCTTGTTTCATCTGGTACGTTTCAAAAGATCAGAACATGATTGTGTACTGTTGGCACACACCATCCACGTTTGCAGCTAAAAAAAGACTGCTTTGTTGTGTCCAAATCGGGCGCAACGCATCTCTCTCTAAACACTCTTTCTTTGCTTGTCTTTCTTCGTGTGTCTTGTGTTCATAGCTCGTCAGGAGATCATCCAGCGCTTCCCAAATTGCCTTGCGCTGCTTGAAGAAAGTCCGCAGCAGCCGGAGCCAACAACAGCTATCGGACAATCCCTCTCAACATTCTGTCCGGTTCGATTTAGCAAAAAACAAAAACCATTGCTACGAGGATGAGAACTACATGTACAACAGTCGCCAACAACAAGCTCCATACGGTTACGAACCTGGCTACAAGGCAGATGAGAAGAATGTAGGCAAAAATGACGATGCTTGTGGCTACTATTACAGAGACGACGAAATTGATGAGGAAGGAAGCAGCTCGGATACAGAAACCGTAGACTACTCGGCGAAACCGGGCACGGCCCGGACGAATCCAGCTCAATCAGAGGGCAAAGAGAACACGCAACAGGATTGTGACGTGCAACGCAAACACGGTGATTCTCCTTCTGCATCTACGACTAGCCCAGAGTCATTGCAAAGTCATGAATCGCCTCAGTACGCTGTCCTTGTTGATGTGTCAACTGCACAAGGGCAAAGGCTCTGCTCGCATGTGGAAGACCAAGATTTGCACAACGCATCGATAACAACAGACGAATATTGTGATTATCGCCAAGGTCGAATTCTCGCTGAGGTACATCGCACCCAGGACCGCGAGCCGAATCGGAACTGCTCACCAATTCCAGAAGACTCTAGACAGCCGATCGGTAAGAAATCTGATTTTTGGGCGTTATTTTGTGATCGTTGATGCGCTGTCTCTGTCGAATGGTGAGGAATGAAGCCATGTGAAATAACAGCACAGTTTTTTCTTCTGGTTACTATCTACAAAGTGTAATGTGACTGTTTCACTAAGCTCTACACATTTTGCTGGTGTGAGCAGCAATCAGATAACTGTGTGAAGTTTAAAAATACCCACCTTTCAAAATTTGTTTCAGCAAGTGACACAACCCTGTCAGTGATATGAGGATTCCAGTGCAAGCCCCACCGGCCAAGGCAAAGTGGCCCAGTACTACTTAATACTAGGCCAAGAAGAATATCTATTGTGCAATCTGAATTATTTTTACACCAGTAGTATTTCGAACTCAGTTCGAAGTAGCTTTAGCACCACCAGCTTCCATAGTGACACATCCTTGTTCCTGTTGCCTTCCTTTTTTGTTTTGTTTGATTGCCCGGACACAGCTGAGATCGAAATGGATAAACAGCTGGATTCTAAACCTGCTTCAGCTTCTAAAAGTACTGCCGATGATCTACCAGAGGTTGTTGCTGTTCCGCCGACTGACTCCACTCCTGCCAAATTGCAAAGCAATTCGCCCGGCAAACGCAAGCCATCCGCTGACCTAACAGAGGCAGATGGATCGGCCGCAAAACGTGTTTTTATCAAAACAAATGCTGGCCAGCGATCAGAGGTCGACCACCGCATTGAGGTTAGATTTTGAACCCGCGCTGATATCTTGTTACCTTATGGGGTTTGGCAGTGCGCCATCACAGCCAGGCCAGAGTCATGACAATACTGAATTCTTAGTCCACTGGAATCCTGTGTTTGTATGCATCCATACACGTATGGGTAGTTTCCTTCACACAGGGTGACCCATCCATTGCCAATGACTTTAAACGCGTACTAGTATCTTTCCTGTAGGCCATACAATGGCAGTACCATGTCGCCATTCTTTCCGAAACTTCCTAACGTTAATAATTGCTGTCTGCTAATGGTTGGCAATGGTGGGCTGATGTAGCTGTTCAATGTCCCTCCATGTGTTGATTTGTTTTTTTTTGTCGCTGCGCAGCATCTAAAAGCGGAGATTCAGAAAGAGGAAGAAATTGAGCGACAGGCCACACAGGCACTTGAACTCAGTCAGTCCAGGGGTCAGCGAGTCACTGACGAGGAGATTGCAGCCGAAAAGCTACTGCTTCTCTCAGGTTGGTACGGTTGCTCTGGTTCATGTTGATCTGTGAGCAATTTCAGGCTGTAATCAGGTGCTCGATACGATGTTGTGTCACGAGCGTTGATGTTTTCCATCATTTCCCCGTGTATGATCAAGCGCAACTGTCTTGGTCTGGTATGCTTTGTCTTTGCTGTATTGTTGTAGGTATCAAGGTTGGCAAATGCCAGTCAGAACTGAAGCAGCTGCAGCAGTCTGGGGAGGAGGGTGGTATTCGACGCCAGGCCAGCGACTCATCCATCATATTCAGCCCGATCCAAAGTCGTCCCTGCGTAGCCACTGTTCATCTCAGTGACATCTGCTTGCCGCTGCATCTCGGCTTCCTGTCGTCGCTGGGCAGGGAAAGTGTCGGCGAGTTCTTCATTGCTGCTCGCTGCGGCTCCGAGGTGGTGGCATCAACCAAGGTGAAGTCCACACGCCACGCAGCCAGCCTGAGCAGTGGAATTGTGTTTGACGACACTCTCACGTTGGAGCGTGTGCACTGCGACTCCCGTATCGAAGTTGAAGTCTACTACTTCACAACAAGCTGCAAATCCCGAGATCAGGAACCCGGCACACCACTTTTATCCACACCAACCAAACCCCGCCTCCTTGTGAGTCTGGCTCTATTTTTTTTAACCTGTTTCCTCGATGGTCAGTCATTGGATGCTGCATTCCATGTGTGGCCTGCAAGTGTTGCTTTTAAACTTGTTTTGCAGCATATAATTAATTGGTTGGCATGTTTCTTGTTTTCGGTTCCTTCAGCCATCCGATGGACAGCGTACCGTATCATCGTCTAAGCGTGGAACTCGTAGCTTGTGGGTATGTCTCAAATTTTACTTGCGTTCTTCTGCTTGCTGGCACGTCTTGTTATAGTGTACTGGCCTGCATAGTCTCTCCGCATTCGCAGCAGTAATAATATAGTGCTGTCTGAAGTGGGGCGCCGCTTTTTTTTTACTGGGGAGTTTGTGATAATATCACAAACTCCCCAGTAAAAAAAAACAGGTTTTGAATATTATTACAGTCGTCCCTCTCTAATCCGGCACTTTATAATCCAGCACCCTCGATAAACCGGCACAATTTTCAGTAGCCAAATGTCCTCTTCATGCACATTGCAGCAGTAGATCAGATTTGTTAATCCAGCACCCTCCCTAATCCAGCAGATTTTCGTGGCACAAATGGTGCCGGATTATAGAGGGACCACTGTATATTATAATAATATTCAAAACCTGTAGTCTTCTGGGCACTGAATTGAATGGTCTGATCCGAGGAAGCTGGGTTACAGATATTTAAAACTGCAGGCGCTCTATATAATATTTGACATCGAGCATGTTACGTCATTTTGGGCACTCGGCATGCCATAGAGGCATACAGATCTATTGAACGAAGATGGAAAAGTATTTCTTGTTTCCTTTGTCAATTTTCCCTGCACTCGTATTTAGTTTTGCTCTTTGTTCTTTTCTTCCTCGTCACTGTTTACGATCACAGCCGGAGTTTTCAAACAGTCCATCAAGGTCTCCGGCTCCTGGTATGTGACTTCAGTGGTGTCACCGATATCATGTGATCAGTTGGCTGCTTTAGGTAGCAGTGGTCTTCTAGTTTTCTGTGATTGCTGTGTTATAGCAGTATGGCATGCGCGATGCGTCCCGCTGAAGTGTTTTGTTTAAACATGACGCGCGGTGGCAGTACTTACCAGTGGTACATGTGTGCTGTTTGGTCTGTTTTGCTGTGTGTGTACTACTCTAGCACCTTCTCTACCGAAGAGCTCTCGTTTTCAGTTGGCTGCGTCCAGCAATTTGTCACTGCCAGTGCTACAGAAGCATACGCAGATCAAGCTGCAAGAGGTAGGATTGTCACCACGTCCAGTGATATTGCGGAGGTTTGGCAAGACGAATTTCACATTCGTATTTATGCACTCTTGTGAAAGTCGAACTCAGTGGCGAAATTCGCGCTATGATGAGGATTAGCAAACAGAACTCACACTTGCATGACGTTGGCAGGTCATACCTGTTTATGACTATAGACAACACAAAGCACAAAGTAAGTTTTGATATGGCGGTCCTGACACGAATACGCGATTCGTGTTTCGACTGCTTTTCCGAGCAAAACATGTGAAAGTTCGCGATCCAGCTATAAAAGAACCGAAAAATGTTCGCGAACCTCGACACGAAATTTGTGATGCTAAACCTCCGTATTGAAAGCATACTATTATGCATATGGTACTGGTTGTGGCTTGGTTGAGATTTCATGTAGCCGAAATAGCTCAGTTGGGAGAGCGTTAGACTGAAGATCTAAAGGTCCCTGGTTCAATCCCGGGTTTCGGCATTTATTTTTTTCCTTGCTTTCTGCACATTCTCCTAACAGTGGAGTGGCCAACACGTGGTGTTCGGTCATGTCTTTGCTACTGTCACCGGCACAGCACATTACGACGAGCATCAGCATACTGGATTTTTAGTAAGTCTTCAATTTGCTACTCTCTGCTACTGTAGAAGCAGAAATATTCGTCCGGAATTTAATTTCGTCTTTTTCTTCCAAAGAGCTTGTGGACTAAATTAAATGCCGGACTAATGTCGATTTGCCCAGCTTTTCAATACACTCTTGTGATCCATGGACGAAATTTACAACCGGACGAACTCCCTTTCTTTGGAGTTGGATGAAATTATTGACCGACGAAATCTTCTGCCTGTACTGTATTACAGTAGGTATCGGTTATAGCGTGGGTGTTTGAAAAACGACTTTCTATTCTTATTTCCGATATTTCTTACGGGCGATAAATCAAGTGTGACATATCATATGCATGTGCGCAGGGGCAGGACGATCATCGTGCATGCAACGTAGTGTTACTGTGCATGCGGCTGGTCATAGTCCCGTAGGCTTACCATGTGGCTGTGCAACATGAGTTACATGACCACAACAGTTGAACCTGCAGCACTACGTACAACGCAACGCGAGGCAGGTCAGAACTGCATTGGACAGACGTTATTACTACAGGCGATACACTTTGTGCCAAACTGGCATGTTTCGCTACACAAAGTCCATTCTTAGGACCGATATATTCTACTATGCGATAAAATTGCTTGTAAGAATAGAAGTGCACTTGAAACCCATGTTATGATTATGAAAACATGAGAGTTCATTCTTGTAGACAGTATATTCTTTTACACGACCACGCTATAACCGATACGCACTGTACGTAACTTACTAACATGCTTGCAGAAGCAATCTGGGTTAAGAACACGAATTGCAAGTCTCCAACTCTGTGTTGCCACACCTGCCGACATGTCAGTAGCCTGCCGATTTTTGAGGCATGTCACGACCTGCCGACAATTGACCTTCTCCTGCCGACAACAGCCATGAAAGTGTCCAAGTTTGACCTTATGCGTGGTTTAGAAGTCATGATCCAGATTTTTGGCTTTTACTGCTCATTACGCGTGTTTCCATAGCTCTCTCCTAAGGCGCTAAGCGAAATCATCATCTGTCTCGAGAAAAATCGGCAAACTCAGCCTGAGTCTCACGCAAAACGTGAATTTTTTTCTTATCAGTGCCGCGCGCACGTGTGCGTGTATCGAGGTCGCTATATAGGGGAGGGGGTCCGGGGGCTTTGGCCCCGGATGATGCATTTTTTTCTTTTATCCTACTGATATTTGGCTATAATGATGTGGCAACACTGCCAACTTCAATTATTATTTAATTTGGCTTTTCAGCGAGGAATGGGTATCCGCTACCCACAGATAATCAGCAACGATGACCTCCACCGCAGAACAGAGACACAGCCCCTAACTGTCCTGGTTAAAGCTGCTCGGATGTGACTACTCGGTCACATCTGCAGACTGGACAAGGAGTCCCCAGCACAAATGGCCATGACATCATACTTCCGGCAAACAAAGGACGAGAAAAAATTCCGTGGCCGGCCGCCTTCCACACTCCCAACAATACTGAGAACAGACCTCGCAACAAAGGGAATGAAGCTGCAGACGGATAAAGGTCTCTCACACATCAGGGACCTGGCAGAGGACAGAGCAGTATGGCGGCAGCTTTTCCGCACCTGAGCCTGCAGAGGAATGCCCGGATTTGCCCAAACGGAACATGACATGATGTATGGTGAATTCAATGGACAATCTGATATATTTCTTCAATATTCTTTGCCTCCTGTTTCTTTTTTTCCTGCCTTCGACCCCGCTGCTCTGTGACCCTTCCCTCGCTTTCTCTTGTCCTTACTGTCTTTTGACTTGTTGAGCGGCCTGAGCGAATGCTAGAGGTGGATGTGTATTATGTCGATTTGTTGATTTTTGTAGTAACACACCCTGATGCAAACGCGGAGAGGCAAATAATAGCGAGGAATATGTGCACTTGACTTAACTTGTGATCCTTGTTCTCCTTGGGGACGAGTGCTACTGCGTCACAGTTGCATGTCGTGTGTGAAGATTCATCTTCACCATTGTAACCTTAGCTCTACAAGAACTGTAGCTTGTGTGAATATTGTCAGTGGAACCGCAAGCTGCTGCATTTAGTGTTTTATGTTTGTCGCGTACCATGGGGCAGCAGAGCTGCAGTGTAACTCGAGTTTTACACTACTAAGCTGCCTGTACACCTTGCTACTGCTGTTTTCTGTGTGCAGACGTGGAAAGAGGAGCTAGAAGGCATTCCTAACTGGCGGCGTCTATGGTGCGAGCAAGCCGGCGCGAGCATCCGTGCTTGGCAATATCCGTCGGATAAGGCCGTCAAGGTAAGCCGTCTGACGCTGTGACGCCTGTGAGTCAGCAACGGGGGTGTGGAGGATCTGCGTTGAGCTTAGCACGACTGCGGCACCTGCAACTACTTCGAAGTATGAGCGCGTCCCACCCCTTATGGTGCCACTGCTGTTTCTGGTGTGGGGTGAAGAACGAAGAATCGCGGACCTTTCTTTTTTTGAGTCATGGCTCTCCTATGTTCTTCTGTAGCTGTACACACGTACGTGTTATACGAACGTATTGGGGTGGCTGATATGGCAAGAAGGTAACAGTTAGACGGAGGATATCTACGTGGGTATTCTGTTCCTCCGCTGTACTGTATGTTGACCCCTTGCATCTTTGCTTTGCTTTCTGTTTCTGGTTGTGCGTGCAGGAGCCTGTTCGGGTCATTGACCTGCATGATTATTCCAAGAGACAGTACTCCCTACGTGTTGACATGGCTGATCATGATGTCAGTGTGCGCAAGTACGCTATCATGCTGACCGCACTGCCACCACATCAGATTGGAAAGCGCCAGCCCGAGCCAGAAGTTGACACGTACGTATGATGGGCTTGGGACTGTACTCTCATCCTTCTAGTTCACTTGCTGCTGATGATGCCAGGCACGGCCAATTTCATAGCTTCAGAGCTTTGGCCATGCAGTGCCGCGCTCCCCTGTTCAGTTCTACTGTTCGTATTGTGTGCTGTTTGTATTGTGGTGTCACAAGTTAACGTTAATGTCGACGAGCTGGACTCTCATGCAGTTATTAGTCGTTTGTGACCGCTCGCTTTACTATGGCGGATCTGGCTGTTTGATTTCCTGTCGATTATTTCAGGTATGTGTTCTCAGCCGACTCTAAGATTGAATGCTCCCAGTGGATTGATGCATTGACTCGATGTGTCGATGATCTCAGCACTTGGCAGCGCTTACCTCCCCGACAAGAGGACAACGTGGAACACGCTCTGTAATATCACGGAGCGTGTCTCGGCACCTTTCGGATTATTTTCGTTCTGCCCTTTGACTGAGTGAGATCTGCAGGTTCTTCCTGCTCTGCGCGGCTATGTCTCACATCGTTGAGTTATCTCTCTTTATTGCATTGTTGCGCCATGCATCTAGCAGTCCTAGCAGTTGAGCAGTATACATGGACACTGGTTGATCCGTTTTACGCGCCGTGTCCACTCATCATATCCCAGAAATCATTCCCCAGACGCACACAGGCACATGGGTTCTATTTAATTTTTTTTTTTTTTACTTGTACATTACAACAGGTTTGGTCAAAATTCCTTCTAGTTCTCCATCAGTATCACTGATCAACGGATGTTTCCTATCGGTTCCTTTCCCTAACAGCATACAACACATGTCTCTTGCTTTCTCGGCATCACATGTCTAATTTTTTTAATTACTCAGTAGTCATTACGGTTTACCGGTACAATAATTTACAACTGCACGGTTGCGCAGAGTAGCTAACAGCCTTCCTGCCGAAAGGTGTAAGTTATGCCTTTTGCTTGCTTTTGCCCGGCCTGATGCTTCCCTTTGTTTTATTGGTTTTTTTATGTGGTTTCATTGTTTAGCTGTTGTATCGTTTATGTCAAGTTTGGCATCAGATGTAGACGTGGGACCAGTCTAAAAAAGCATCCCGTTGATTTTAAATTGATTTCCATGTTATCTGCATAAGCTTTGTGCGTGAAACTGTCGGTCTGCCTCTGCTTGTTGATGTTGGCATGATGTTAGACCAGAGGCAGGGGCCAGCCATAGAGTTCAGGGAGGTAGAAAGGTACAGACTACAAAGCAAAAGGGAATGGAAGGCCAGCGTGTACATTGTGTTAAAGTCATGCAGCGGGAATTTCACAACTCAGACATGAACGCTGTAGTTCAACAGTCAAATTTTGTTGTTGTGTGACACATACTGAAATTCGGATGATTTTATTTTTGTTCTTTTTCAGTGATTGGACCATTTAATTGGTGTTGCCTGGAGACCATTGGACTTGGTAGTTGGTACTCCATGGAGAGTGCTCACTGTGTTGTGAGCAGGGAGTCGTAAAATATTTTACGACTCCCTGGTTGTGAGGATATGGCCGGATGTAGGGTAGATCTAGTATTCTACGCTACTACTTGCTACCATTTTGTACAATAGTGTACTACCTTACAAGTATTAGTTACAACTCGATCGAGTACGAGTACTCCCTTTTCCATATTTATCCTGTACATATGATGCACGTACATCTACGCATGTACAACTCCCTGGTATGCATGCATGTGCTTGGCCGATTGTCTGTACTGCACTGATCTGCTGCGTGATGACAGGCATGGCACAAAGCCACCAAGATCTTTTCCGACGTGACGCTGACCACGGTTGTGGTTGCTTCGCTTCATTCAAGGCATTTTCAGATTTTCATGTTGGCGGTGGTGAAGCCTTTCGGTGCACTTGTGTTATTTTTAGTAGGCGTGACTGGCGTCCTTGGGAAATAGCTCCCCTGCTGGGATGGTGTAGCGGCGAGGCGGGAGGTACAACAGAGCCATGCCTCTGGTGAAGAGAACAGTCGAGCCTTACTACGCCAGTAGGTGTCGTGTTTCTGATAAAGTCGAAAATGAGTTGCAGTGCATCGTGTCGCACACACTGTCCAATGTCATTCGCCAGCTTAGCAGCCTCTCCAAACATGCCGAGAATTTGTTTGCTGAGATCTTCAACGAGGCCAACTCGTACCTGGAAAGGACTAGTGCTTTGGAGAAGAGAGTCCAGAAGCTAGCTGTGGACGTGACCCAGTTGGATCCTGTGCAAGAAGAAGGTGTGTTATCCACATAGAAATTATCAACTTGCTTATAAGCGTACGCAGACGTGTAAATTAGGCACATGCACACTCAAATCACAATCAAACCAAGTCACTGTGAATGTGAAATGGCCCAACTTTTGCAAAGACATTTGGTGCCAGTGTTGACACTTATTGGTGACTGCATGAACAAAATCACATGTAGTTTGATGTCTGCACTAACAAACAAATGCAGTGCCAAGTAAAGTGTTGATTCGAAGACCTGAAGTCACGCGCACTAATTTCCGGGAAATGCGTAGGCCTAGCTGGAGTTCAGTACAAACCTGGCCGTGTGTTGGTTGGTACGTCATGCATTTATTTGAATTCACAGTGATCAAACCGGCCGTGACTCTCACCCGATTTCATTGAAGTGGACTATCTAAAGTCGCCTTAGGAGAATTGTTTTAGAAATGGCAAGGTTTGAGTACGTTATTAGTACGGTTGGCGACAGTCAGACAGCAGAGAGCAGCGGTGAGAAACGGCTTCAAAGAACAGTGACAGCAAAAAAAGAAAAGAAGAAGCGTAGCCTGGATAACAGATGGTGCTATGCAATACAGTGGACTGTATACATGGGAGTGGATACTAATTTAGCAAGATAGCAGGCTACAATTATAGTTTGAATGGATGGAACCATGGAATACTGCGCACTCTTGAGCGGTTGGATGGGCATGACCCGCCAGGATTGTGGGAATGGTAGATCCAAGCCGCATTGTGCGCGTGTTGTGCAGGTAGCTGGGGGCCTAGGCACATACTTTAGTGCACTACTCACTGTCTGCTCTAGGATTTCAAACCAACCGGGTGCTACACGTGTACCTGGCACAGCCATTGCAACCGGGTCAGAGCCGGGTCCGTTCAAGCGCGGCTCCTGCATGTACACATGATTATCCTATGATCAGGGAGTTGTAAATATTTTAGGGCTCCCTGATGTACGTATCTTGTATTCCCAACCGGATCACAGGTGACCCGGTGTTCTTTATCCAAACGAGTCCAAGTTATTTCTATTCCGTAGCTTTTCTTATGGGTGTATGTGGTGGTCTCTCTGTGTCCGTGTTTTGTGTGTGTGTGTATGTGGTGGTCTGTCTGTGTGTGTTTTGTGTGTGTGTAATGCAGTTAATCTCTATGATATTAGCATGTACAAGCACTTCAAGAGCACGAATGTCACCGAGCAACAGGTGCTGTCAAGAGGTTCTCTCCCTGTGGCCCTTGTGGAAGTCTATAATCAGTGCCAAAAGCCGCCGAACCTTTCAGCGTTCAACAAGTATCGCGAAGACGGGAAAGATGGCCTGAAGTTTTACACAGATCCAGGGTACTTCTTCGAATTATGGTCTGAAGACATGAACCGAAAGGCCGAGGAGCGGAAAAAGAAGAGGAAGGTAAGATTCCGGTGATCTGGTCTAGAAGTCAAAACAGTGCTGCCACTTCATGCTTTCAGGGTTCATAATTATCACCACATCCTACATTATATTACATATATATGTAGCTGGTGTGGTGTAGTAGGACCTGTGTCAGTGTCTCAGGTTGTGCATTTGATTAGTTCTAGACCCTGCTGCAACGAGGAACCAAGATCAAGCGAGATTGGAAGTTGGTGCGAATCACGGGCCGAAACGAACGGTCAGGCCAAATTTGGCAAAGGCATGCACGTAGCTGTACCGTTGATCCGCCCCCTGTCGAATTTCAACTCGTTATTAAAGCGGCTTCAGCATATGCATCGAGATATGATGTTGAACAGACACATGCATTGCTGTACAGAAAGACAGTGATGTAATCTCTGGTGTAGGGGGTTGTACCACCCTTAATGGGATCGAATAAATTTTGTTCTTGACTTGCTCGACTGGAGATTGGCGGGCAGTGCAGTTGTGTTAGCCATGGGCTTATGCCTTGTCTTACACGATCCCGTTTTTGTTTCTCCACTGCTTTGTTCATTCTGCCTTGCTAGCAAAAAGTACGGCAACGAGAGACGACGAGTACTCACGGTCCCGCAAAGGTGGCAGCCGTGCAGACCAAGAAATTCCGCAGTGGAAAGGGTCAAGAGTTTGATGATGGCCAAGGAGGTACTGTCGTGCCACCCTCGGTGGTCGGTGCGCCGCCTTCTGGTCCTCCACCCGGTGCACCGCCGCCGGTAGCTGGAGCACTGCCTAGCGGTCCACCACCGTCACTTCCACAGGGTGCACCACCACCGCCGCCATCGGGTGCTCCTCCAGCACCACCCAGTGGTGCACCGCCTGGACCTCCCGGTGGTGCACCACCTCCGCCACCGGGTGGCGCCATGCCGGCTGGTGTACCACCCGGACCTCCACCTCCATTCGACAGTGCGCCGCCTCCACCGCCGGACGATTCGATGATGGGCATGCCACCTCCGCCTGGTTTCGCTGCTCCTCCTCCCGGTGCTCCACCGCCTCCCATGGGCATGCCTGATGCGCCGAATGCCTTTGCACCGCCGCCACCACCGCCCGCTGCTGCCCCGGCACCTCCGCCAATGATGGCTCCTCCGTCAGCTGTACCGCCGCCACCAGGACCACCGCCACCGGTGTCCAACGTTCCTCCACCGCCTGGTCCTCCGCCACCTCCAGGTCCCCCGCCGCCACCTTGTGGCGCGCCACCACCCCCCGGCCCAGCACCGTCACTACTGGGAAGTATTGCGCAGGGAACTACACTCAAGAAGGCATCAGTGGTGGCGAAAGAACCAGATGAGAGGGTTGATCTTCTCAGTGCTATCCGACAGGGCAAGGCGCTGCGCAAGACTGATGACGTTGAGAAGAAGCCAAAGGATGATGGCAACGGCAACGACGTCGCTGCCATTCTCGCCCGCCGTATTGCCGTGGAACAGAGCGATTCAGAAGATGATGCCGGTGGCGAGGACTGGTCGGACGATGATGACGACTGGAACTAAAGCTCTCGGGCCACCGCCGTTGACCAAGTGCTTTTGTATATTACTACTGCTACATAACATCGAAACTACTCACCCTCACCATAGCGCGTTTGTTTTGTGCTGCCTGTTGTAAAGTGCACGTTCATTAAATTTTTACCCTCAAAGTGCTGTCAGTGTCTTGCCATCTGTTTTTCTATTTCTTTAGGGAGTTGGATGTGATGGTATGTTTGGTCCTAGTCTGAATTGGATGTATGATGGGGTAGTCCTCTGTAACTATGTAACTATTTTAGCTGAAAGTCCTGACTTACATGTACTTGCCTTATCATGTGTGTGTGTGTGTGTGTGTGTGTGTGTGTGTGTGTGTGTGTGTGTGTGTGTGTGTGTGTGTGTGTGTGTGTCTTTCTTCTCTTCTCAGACTCTTCCTGACTTTCCTTTCATTCTCCTGGGTGGTTACCAACAGCCAGTGCATGCCGGAGTATGTGGTGTGATGTGTGTGCAGGAAAAAAATTGAAAAGACCAAAAATAGGGATTCACTGGCCAGAGAAAGTCACTTCAAAATAGCTGTATGGTGTAGACCAGGCTGAATAGTGACGCATACTGGCCAACCCTCCCGTTTTTCCCGGGAAAATCCCGGAAAATCAACACTCCTCCCGGGGTCCCGGGGATTTCAAGCAAATTCCCGGAAAAACCAAAGTTTTGTCTGATACAGGATTTTCCTGAAAACTCCATGGTTTCTCCCCGAATGTCCCGGTTTTTTGAACTTTTTTCAAAGGTATGTACGGTGATCATTCGCACTTCGAACTTTAGTTTGAAGACCTGACCATGCAAGATCTGCACTGACAAAGTGACAGGCGGGCGCCGACTGATCAAAATACAGCCTAGTACAGGGTCGATCTGTGCTGTACGCACAGCTGCAGAGTCTAACGTTTTTTTGGCGGGAAAAGCTCTTTTTCACTTGTTTTTGTGCCATCCAGGGATTTTGAGAGAAATCCAGGCATTCTGCATGTCTTGTCAAGGGATTGAGATTGTGGTGGTTGGTCAGTATGGTGACGGTCAATTCTTCAGCCTTGCAAGCTGTTGAATGGTGCAATCCCAGCACAAGTTGCTATGGCTTCTGCCGTAGCATTGCTATCATCGCCTCCGGCGATGGGCGTCAAAGGTCAAAGGTGTGTGTGTGTGTGTGTGTGTGTGTGTGTGTGTGTGCCCATCCGGAGATGATGGCAGGTCGGTCCTTTCAGGACCTGCCATCATCTCCGGATGGGCATTATTCTATTGTATTGTGTGCGAGTAAGTGAGTGAGTGTCTGCGTGTGTGCGAGTGTTGCTTTCATGTCTATGATTGCTGGCACCAGCAATAATACTGTATCATTATTATTTGTACTGCCATTGATGACTTTTCACTTCGACATTTCTCTCAAAAGATCGGACTTCATTGAGTAGTGCCAGCAGTACATAAAATTAAAAATGTACTCTTGGTAGTAGACCTCTACTCACTGTACTTGGAAGTATGGTAATAGATGATGCACTGCCACTGTACTGTGCCGTATATTGTCAAAATTTTGCAGGCCACAACAGCATTGCCCACTTCATTAACCATGGCGGACAACAAGAGAGAGAGAGAGAGAGAGAGAGAGAGAGAGAGAGAGAGAGAGAGAGAGAGAGAGAGAGAGAGAGAGAGAGAGAGAGAGAGAGAGAGAGAGCCTGAGAGTGAGTGAGAAGGTTAGTAACAACATTGTCTTGTGCAGTTTCACTACCGGTACATACACTAGCCCTTGGCGGATTATGCTTGGTAAATTGCTGATTCTAGTGAATTATGTTTTCCATTATCAATGATTCAATATGCTCCAATTATGCCAGTGATTATGCTATATTATGCTGGAGTTATGCCAATGATGGTGTTATACTACGCTGCGGTCCAATCAATGTAATGGTATGGCGTCAGGCGAAATAGCACGTCATAGTACATTTGAGATCAGCGGGAAGAAGATGACGACGTCCACTAATTTCGTATCTGTGCACACGAATCTGCTGTGTGTGTGACTCTAGCTCTGTGTGTCAGCTATGATATCATCTTCTGTGGTTCCATGCCTAGCATGTACGTCTGAACCATCCTGCAAAGTTTGAATGACGTAGGTTGAGCGATCGCTCCGCGAAACATACTTTTTGAAAATCTCTTCATAGTATATCTTCCACCATTGAAATTTCGAATTTCTTCCAAAAAAGTGCTGAGAGGGGTGGCTTGCAACCTCGATATGGCTTGTTCCAGGCATGCTTTGGAGCCATCTTCTGTTGAAGTAGTGGCGGGGATCTGCCCTGCAACTGCTACAACAAAAAATGATTCGATCTGAGAAAGGGTGAGACCGCGAATCTCGGTTGAATATTGAGTATTTCAAGCCTTTTCACGACGAAGATGGAGTTCTTTTTGGAGATGGACGTCGCGGCAAAGGACATGGTGTCCGACTTCTGGCGTCTGGTGAAGCCAGGGATCATTTGTCCAGTCAGGTCGGCAGCCTAACCGTCGGTAAGCTTGTGTTTGGATCCCGTTCTGCTCGATGTGGTAGATCACAAACAATTTGATATCGCACAAATTGATCTCAGCATCGTGCGTACGGTATTTTATATTCAGAAAATCCCAAAGTGTCTCTGTGTGGCCGTCCTATGCCACGATAAACTCCAATCAGGCTCCTATGTCCTCTGCCTTCATGATTGAATGTCCACTTCGTTTGAACAACGAACACAACAATCGAGGACGGCTTTGCAATGAAAAATACAGCTATACTGGAGCTAAAAAAAGAAGAAAAAAACGTGCTCAGGATGAGACTCGAGTACACGCATACTCTCCCAGCAGGTGAAACGCAAATTTTTGTGAAAAATGCGTGTCGCCGACTGACGTGACCAGTAATTTCGCCTGACGTGAACTCAGTACAAACAGCCCTTGGCGGATTATGCCAATGATGGTGCTATACTACTGACATGTTACTGTACCCTTGCATGCACTCTTGTTGCACTTTGCAACGTTACATCGACTCTGGCACCATGTACCATGACAGCATGGCTTATAACTTGTTATAAGGGGTAACATTCACCAGGTTAACTTATTTCACACAGTGCCTAAATATGCCTGGAGCATTAATTTTCAGCCAGCATCGCCAGCCGTCTGGTCTCAGGAGTCCTTTTATGCAAGGCATAATGCTTAGACAAAATCCGAAAGATTATGCCGAAATTATGCCAGCATATTATAAATCCGCCAAAGGATACACCTACCGATACAATCATGTTCGTTGCAACTCTGAGGTTCATGCTATGTAATCATCAGGTAACATGAAGATGATGTTGGCCACGCCAGTACATGTATTAGTAATTCACTACTACAACAGCATCTTCATATTACTACCAAGCTAGAGTAGGTAAACAGTTTTTCTTCTTTTTGTCTATCTACTCTTGTTACTACCTTATGCAAGGAGAAATGTGGACTGGGTGTTAGTGGTTTCGATGAGGCGCAGTTTATATTCCTTGTGGCTGGGCCACTAGGGATATCCTTCACTATCTTGATGCGCCTTGGGAAGTCCCCTAAATAATAAAGTCATTGTATATGCACCTTTGTTATCACTCCAGTATTCTTTGTGACGTGTAGTTTTATAGTACCTCTCTCCTTGTGGTGGACTTAGCACTACTTTAGTACAAGTAATGATAGTTGTGTCTGGTAGGGTTCATAACACCTCCATTCTCCATTCTGTAGCTCAAGCTTATTAACCTTATCATTCAACACCTCCTTTTCCTCTGATGATTCCCCGTGATCTTTTTTTGTAATGAAGCCAGCTTGTCATGTAGGAGTGACTAGTTCGTTTTGTAGTCAGTGTTGCTGGTGGACTGGTGAACGGTTAGTGCTGATGTCTGCAGGCGTCGTGTAGTTTCGTTTGGTCAGTGACGAGTAGGTCCAGTAGGACCAAGAGTACCGTTATGTACTCTTGGTAGGACCTATCACTGTACTGTGGATGGACCATGTCGGACTGACCAAATGAACGGATGGCACCAACGAATAATGCACATGAGAGGTTAGTTTAGAAAGCTATACCGGTTTGATACCGGCTTGCACGCTTGATGACAAATTGCTCACTCATCTTGTGGCGTTTGCCCGACTTATAAGGTTGCACATACGATGTCTCTGCCCACGCTTCTTACTTCCGCTCCCACACGTTCGATTGGTTCGTGGTTGCCGGACGCTATTTGGATTCATCGTCGTGACGTTATGCCCCCTCATCGATTGATTTACTGGTAGTCTACTGGGAATTGTGGGAAATGCTTGGGTCGTTTCAACTTTAACCAAACTGTAGCTAAAAATAGACGATTTGCTTGTTTTAACCGACTCCGACATTTGTGGAGTTTTGTTCTATGGGAGCAGGTGCAGCAATGCGCATATGTACGATCAGATTCTCTTTCATCGATGCATCAGAGTGCCTATACATTGTAGAATCAACAATTGTGCTGTCATTGCTTGCTGCATTCTACCACGAGTCAATTTGGCTCTGGAATGTACACAATACTTTGACGGGCAATTAAACACTAAGTTATGTACAGTGCACGTGACGCGAATGACTGAAAATAGAAACCGCTTGTGTCGGGGACAAATAAGTAGGGCTCAAACGGTCACGGTTTTACCCCTGACGGTTAACTGCTAAGCTAACGGTCGGTTAACCGGTTATAACCTATAAGCCACGGCAATCCTGCGGACTCTTTTTTAAGTATATTTGACTATACTCATTCAAAAAATGTACCCTATTCTGTACAACGCACACTTGTACATTCTCTTGCATGCTCATTCATACATACTCTCACACCAAGAGACCGGATATGACCGAGTAGACAGCCCAGAAATTGCGTACGCGTGCGACAGCCCGCGAAAGTGCACACTTTGCAACGACCTGATACTTGAAAAATTGACTGAAAAGTTACTGCGTAACCGTTATCTTTATCGGTTAACCGTTAATTCTTCGTAACCGGTCTGCAACCGGTTAATCGGACTAATCGTTTGAGCCCTACAAATAAGTATAGGGTTAGCAGTTCAACACAGGATGACCAGCTGTCCTTTCCTTCTATGGTTCGGAGCCTTTCTTTCGCAAACACAACTTTGCAGTACTAGTATTTCCTCAGAAGATACCAGCAGTGATGATAGCCTATAGGCAGTGATGATATAGCCTATAGGCAGTGATGATATAGCCTATAGGCAGTGATGATATAGCCTATAGGCAGTGATGATATAGCCTATAGGCAGTGATGATATAGCCTATAGGCAGTGGTGATATAGGCAGT